AAATTGACGTTCGGGGATCGTTTATACGTGAATAAGTACCCCTTTCATTCATACAATTATTGACAAACCCGTTGTGTTTAGTTCTTGTTTCAATCAATTTTACTAGTTTTTCGTTAAATAGGCGAGCATATTTGTAAGAGACTCATATTTGATGGAGATTGGAGAACTATGATTTTTGGCGATTATTCACAATTTATTTGATGAATCTGGCAACGTATTAAGCATCAGCTGGTTTTGCATCGATGTATTTTTCGTAAACTCTCGCATCGCTCAATTGAAATCTGAGTTCTGCCAATGGCGATCGGCGCTTTCAAAAACGAGAGAGATGTCTGTTAGGGTAACCTTGGTTTTCAGAAGACCCCAAAACCGCCCTTGCGCTTGTCTGTGGGACGAAACGTACCGTTACCATGCCGAAAGTTTGTAAACCGTTCAACTAACTCTGTAACTGCTGGTTGATTACAACTACCTCAACCATCAAATCCATCCCGTTACTCCATACATCTGAAACAAAAGACTGGCTGGATAATCCCGTTGCCCGTGTCGGGCCACTGGCACGTAAGCGAAATGCTAGCGAAATCCTACAGAAAAATATACGATGTCATAAAAGTGTGTTTCCACTTTGCGAAGTATTTCTAATTAATAGCCACGGAAAGGTTGAGTTGTAGTTATTATTATGTAGCATCTGATAACACAGAGCATTTATGATTAAAGGGAAAGTTCAACAAAAGTCATTTGATACAACAAAATAACGTAAATTTCACAAAAAAAAAATCGAAAATATTCTTAAATTTACACTAAATTTAATCAAGATCTGCTTTTGGGGCTCAAAAATATTTTGTGTATGGATAGCTGGATTCAACATCTTTCCAATCAAATGAAGAAATTGAAAAAAAAACAAGCAGTTTTCTAACGAAATGCTTTTAATACACCTAATACAATGCAATAATGTAAATTTTTCAAAAATACTAAATATCGCTAAATTGCCCCGAAATTTAAACAAGAACTACCTTTGGGGCTCGAAAAAATATTTTGGGGACAGATAGCTGCATTAAACATCTTTTCAAACAAATAAAGAAATTGGAAAAAAATTTGATCAGTTTTCTAACGCAATGCTTTTAAAACTACGCAAGAAAGTAAATTTTACAGAAATACGAAAAATTGTTAAATTGCCCCGAAATTTAAACAAGATCTGCCTTTGGGGCACAAAAATATTTTGGGTATGGATAGCTGGATTCAACATCTTTCTAATGAAATAAAGAAATTGGAAAAAAATTCGATCAGTTTTCTAACGAAATGCCTCTAATACAACGTAATAATGAAAATTTCACAGAAATACGTAAAATCGATAAAATTGACCCAAAATTTGAGCAAGATCCGCCTTTGGGGCTCAAAAAACATTTTGTGTATGGATAGCCGGATTCAACATCTTTCCAATCAAGTGAAGAAATTGGAAAAAAATCGATCAGTTTTCCAACGAAATGCTTTTAATACAATGCAACCATGCAAATTTCGCAATAATACGAAACATCGTTAAATTGATCCAAAATTTAAACAAGAACTACCTTCGGGCTCAAAAAATATTTTGTGCACGAATAGCTGCATTCAACATATTTCCAATCAAATACATCCATTGGAAAAAATTGAATCAGTTTTCTAACGCAATGCTTTTAAAACTACGCAAGAACGTAAAATTCACAGAAATACGGAAAATCGTTAAATTGACCCAAAATCTCAACAATATTCGCCTTGGGCTCAAAATTCATTTTTGTGTATAAATAACTGGATTCAACATCTCTCCAATCAAATAAAAAAAATGAAAAAAAAACTCGATCAGTTTTCTAACGAAATGTTTTTAATACAATGCAACAATGCAAATTTCTCAAAAATACGAAACATCGTTAAATTGGCCCAATATTTAAACAAATATTTAAAACTACGCAAGAAAGTAAATTTCACAGAAATACGGAAAATTGTTAAATTGTTCCGAAATTTAAAGAAGATCTGCCTATGGAGCTCAAAAAATATTTTGGGTATTGATAGCTTGATTCAACATTCCTCCAATCAAATAAAGAAATTGGGAAAAAATTCGATCAGTTTTCTAACGAAATGCTTTTAATGCTTTTAAATTTACGTCATTGCGTTGTATCAAAAGCATTGCGTTGGAAAACTGTTCAAGTTTTTTTTTCCAATTTCTTTATTTTATTGGAAAGATGTTAAATCTAGCTATCTACACGCAAAATAATTTTTGAGCCTCAAAGGCATTTCTTGTTTAAATTCTGGGTCAATTTAACGATTTTTCGGATTTTTTGTAAATTTACGTTGTTGCGTTGTATAAAAAGCATTTCGTTTCAATTGATTCCTCAATTGATTGGAAAGATGTTGAATTCAACTATCCACACTTAAAATATTTTTTGAGCTTCAAAGGCAGATTTTGTTTAAATGTTGGGTTAATTTACCGATTATTCGGATTTTCAGGAAATTTACGTTATTGCGTTGTAAAAAAAGCATTTCGGTAGAAAACTGATCGAGTTTTTTTCCAATTTGTTCATATGATTGGAAAGATGTTGAATCCAGCTATCCACACCCAAAATATTTCATAGGCGCAAAGGCAGATCTTGTTTAAATTTTGAGTTAATTTAACGATTTTTCGGATTTTTAGAAATTTACGTTATTGCGTTGTATAAAAAGCATTTCGTTGGAAAACTGATCGAGTTTTTTTTCCAATTTTTTCATTTGATTGGAAAGATGTTGAATCCAGCTATCCACATCTAAATTATTTTTTAAGCCCCAAAGGCAGATTTTGTTTAAATTTTGGGTTAATTTAACGATTTTTCAGATTTTCAGGAAACTTACGTTATTGCGTTGTATAAAAAGCATTTCGTTGGAAAACTGATCGAGTTTTTTTCCAATTTGTTCATTTGATTGGAAAGATGTTGAATCCAGCTATCCACATCTAAAATATTTTTGAGCCCCAAAGGCAGATTTTGTTAAAATTTTGGGTCAATTTAACGATTTTTCGGATTTTCAGGAAATTCACGGTATTGCGTTGTATAAAAAGCATTTCGTTGGAAAACTGATCGACTTTTTTTTTCCGATTCCGTCATTTGATTGGAAAGATGTTGAATTCAGCTATCTAAATATTTTTTGAGCCCCAAAAGCGGATCATGTTCAAATTTCGGGTCAATATAACGATCTTTCGTATATTTGTGAAATTTACGTAATAGATTTCTATTTGAAGCATTTATTTGGAAAACAGATAGAGTTTTTTTCCCAATTTCTTTATTTGATTGGAAAGATTTTGAATTCAGCTCGGATCTTGTGAAATTTACGTTATGGACCTTTCCCCGAGCATCGACTTCCTTGTTTATTCCGTGACATTGACCAATCAGCAAGATCTGAAAAGTGACGTAACAATGCCCCCTTTTCGCATCCGCTCAGACACTTTTCTCACTCAGACAGATTTTCAAGCGTGGTTGTAAACATTACCTCGTTTTTGCATTTTTGAACTCTATTCGTTAGTTTTCAGTTGTGTTTCGGAAACTTGAATAAAAATCAGATAATTCAATGATCACTCTGTCTTCTTACAAGTTTTAATTTAATTGCAGTAATAAAAATTAGTGTAGAAATAGCTGTGATAGACTAGTCTGAAATTCTTTACCTGTACTTTTAAAAAACAGATTGTTGTGTGCGATGAATCCTAATGATGGTTTGAAACACATACCCCATTTTACAGGCGCCAACTCGCAAAAGCACTCCTAAAATAGCCCTGAAAATTTTGCAATGGTAAAGTATAGGAAGAATTTTCCGGGGGTCAAAGGTCGGGGAAAGGTCCATTGCGTTTTTATTGAAAAGTATTTATACAACATTTTATTGCACAACTTACATAATTTTATTAGAGTATATATTCTTACTTTATTCACATCAGACTGGATACTGTATTTATACACAAAAATTGTTGGACCGCATTTACTTAAATTTTAGAACAATTGATTTATTTTTTATTCATAAATTTTATAAAGAAACACTTTTTATGACATCGTAATTTTGGGCAGCAGTATTTCGCTAGCATTTCGCTAGCGTGACAGAGATCACCAGCAGGGTTGCCATATTGGCTTTTTTAACGCCAAATTTGCCATTTTTGGCTTTTTTCAAACGCGTTTGGCGTCAGAATTTTCCGTTTGGCTTTTTGGCTTTTTCTCAAGTCTATTCTATTGTCTATTATCAAAATCATATGAAATACAATATACCTGTACTTATTAGCGGGATGCGAACAACTCGAATACACGGACAACTCACCAGAGACAGCTTGACTACAGAGAGGCCTGGTGAGTTGTCCGTCTTTTCGCATTTTCTACGGCGGTGTTTTAGGTCTATAAAAAATGCGTGATGATGATATTTTAAGTGCTCAAATGTTGAGAAAAATACAAAAATATTCTCTAGAAAGCATTGTTATTTGTGTAAGTGGCTTATTTTTCTCATGTTGTATGAATACAAATAAAATCTACAGACGAGATGCTCAGACAGATGTTCAAGCAGGGTTGTAAACATTGCCTCGTTTTTATAGTTTTGCATTTATTTGTCAGTTTTACGTTCTGTTTCCAAAAAATAGTTGTATAACTCAATTTTCATTACCTAAGCCTGATATGGTTTATGTGAGCTTTAGTTTATTTCTGCAATTGCAGTAACGATGTGATTAACTACGCTAAAATTACTGAATTAGATATCAGTGGTCCACCTGTTTTGAAAGTAAAAAAATGTTCAATAGTAAAGTACACGATATAGGGAGAATTTTTTAAGGTAGGCTATATCACAAGTTTAGGTAGAAACATGTAGGTATATTACAGACTGAAGCGGCACCCTGTATTGTATATATTGAATGGTAAAATATTGCTGTCCGCTAGATATTTATTTTACTTTCTACAGTTCTATAGGAACTTTACTTTCTATTTGTATGCCTCCCTGAATGAACTGATGGCTCCACATCATCATCAGTACGTTGTCAAGGACTTAAAATCTGACAAATCATGGGGCTTTTGTACTTAGTAAATTGCTGGCTTTTTCTGGCTTTATTCATGTCTTGATTTGGCTTTTTTTGATCGCTGGGGTCTGGCAACACTGATCACCAGCCAGTCTACTGATTAATGAGTACTGGTCTAGCCTATGCCTGTATGAGCAAATGATAACTGGCATGATACACCATATGATCAAGCCTTGTTTTCAGTTTTTCATTTCTCCTTGGATAAAACTGGAATATGAGAATAGATAGGTAGATTTTATTTCGATTCATTCGCAAAGAATAAAACAATACACAAAAAAGGGAATGACGAGGAATCTGGAAAGTGAACAAAACCTAAAAATAAGTTTATAACGTATTAAACGTGTTCAGTCACCGAAGAAAGAAGAAAACAAATCACAACAAAAATAAACATGAATATAAACGGTTGGTCAATATTCAGGTGTCTAACTTTATAATCAAGTTACGTGCAATTGTTTACAAACAAATTAGTGAACTGAATAGCGGGTGTGTGTGCGATGTCTGAGACGGCATGTAAACAAACAACGAACTAAAGACCATGTACGGATTATGTTCGTGTTTGTGACTATAAATAAGAGAAATACACAGCCTGCAGATATACCCAAACAAAATGATTTGACTGTTATTTTTCCTCTATGTTTGGTTGGTACATGTACATTTGTAGTCTTGTTTTCCTATGTAGCTAGATTCAACTTATATTTGGGCCCAACGTAATAGTGTCTTTGGCTCGTAATCATTGATTCAAGTGTTGTTTGTGAGATTTTCCAGGTTGCCTTAATCTTTGGGCTTATTATAGCTGTATAGTGAAATATGACTGATGCAGAAAATCAATCATCTACTGAAATATCATTTTCACCACCAGTATTTCAGCAGAGATACACAAAAGTGTTGAATGTCATTCGTAAATATAAACCCAAAAAGGTGAGGATGTGACCTGCCTTCTCTGTTATCACATCTTCATATATGTATGCATAATTTAGTAATTACACCTTAGGTATTGTTTGGGTGTGGTGTTTTTAAATACCACTCAGGTTCCCTCACGGCTTGCGATCAGTAGACCTAAAGTTTGACTGATCAACATAATCTCATCCTGTGGAAAAGTAGGCTTTGGGACGCACTAATTTCAAATATCTCATCTGGTTTAGGTTTGGATCAATAAGGGCTAGACTGCCCAGGTGTGTTTGTACTTCTCTAGAAGAATCAGGGTAACCCTTAAATGCTGGTCTTGCAGTATCGACTGCTTCAAGCTTAGCTTGTTCTCCTCAATTCAATAATTTGCTTTAGGATATATAATTCTTGAAGTTACAATGCTTGATTGTAGATTAACCTTTATAAAAATGCAATCGATCTAGATTCTGCAAAATTGTACATAGCGAGATATTCTGTGACAAAGGTTGCAAATCACTTCTCGACAATTTGCTTATAAATTATTCTGATACTTTATCAGTTCATACATGTCTTTTTTCTTTCTTTCATGTTATCTTTCTAAATTTGCAACAAAAAACTAATTGTTCACTGCTTAGGATGTCAAGATACATATTTGCCATTATAGCCTAATTCGAGGGGCAAAAGGTTGAATGTTAAAATTTTGTGTAAATTCATATTTTAAAAAAATTATGAAGAAACCTGCTGGTTTCTAAACAAAGTTTGAAGCTGTATTTTGATAAAAAGTTGAAGGTGAAAATCAATGTTTCCCTCATTTTCTCAAAACAGTTTGGCCCTTTTGGGTCTAGTTAGTATTCTTTGCATAGTTTTTTGGATTTGTGGAGTCTGAATTATTGACTTTCAACAAACGTTCCTAACACTCCATTATTTGTTCAATTTCTTATGGCACATAATAACTCAATCATTTTTAGGTTGTTGATTTTGGATGTGCTGAGTGTCGATTTATTCGATTGCTCAGAAACGAAGATTTAGTGGAATACATAATCGGTGTTGACATAGACCGAGCACTACTTGAACGTCATGTTGAGAGTATAAGACCTCTGGCTACAGAATATTTGCAACCAAGGCTCACCCCGTCGACTATGCAGCTATTTCAGGTTTGTGACCATCATATTAATACAAATCAGGTGATATTAAAATTGGGGTTGAAGCCGAAAAGAAATTTTGATACTGTAATTCATGATCATTGTTTGTTTGATAATTTGAGTGTCAAGTTATATCAGGGCAACCCTAAAATGCGGGAAACGGGAACGATGGGAACTACAGGAAATACACTAAAATGCGGGAACAACGGGAAATTGCAAAAACTAAAATGCGGGAAATCGCTTTAAGGTACAGGAAATTTTCATTTTGGGATATGTTTAGGGGGAATTGTTCTAGAAAGCGAAAGCAACGGTAAATATATGCTTTGGGGTGTATGTACGTGAAAATTTATCTAAAATGCAGGAACGACGGCAAAACGCTTTAAATTACAGGAAATACTCATTTCAGAGTATGTTTGGAAGAAATTACACTACAAACAGAAGCAACGGGAAATATACGCTTGGGTTGTGTGGATACGGAAATTTCACTAAAAAGCGAAAAATTTCACAAAGAGTGGAGGTGACGGGAAATCGCTCTAAGATAAGGATAATATGTATGTTAGTACAATTACCCCGTACATGCACACTCAAGTATAAACGGCACTCCGGAAGTATGAGCAACAAGATGACGCACAACCTGAACCCTAACCTGGTATACATACTTTGTTCAGGTTGTGCGCCATCTTGTTGCACATACTTCGGGAGCGCCGTATAAACCTGCCGTTGCTTTCGCTATTCAATGCACATTTACCCCACACATACTCTAAAATACATATTTCCCATACCCTAAAGCAAATTCCCGTCATTCCCGTCTTTTGTGAAATTTCCCGTAGTTCCCGCAATTTCAAATTGACAAATTCCCGTCGTTCCCGCAGTTCCCCCTTTTTAGTGCATTTCCTGTCGTTCCCGCTTCCTGCATTTTAGGGCCTTAAAATGCGGGAAACAGGAATGACGGGAAATTTTACTAATAAGCGGGAGAATGTTACAAAAAGCGGGAAACACGGGAAATGAACTTTAAGATACAGGACATATGTATTTTAGTGTAATTGTCCCGTACATGCACACTCAAGTATAAACTTCCCGTTGCTTCCGCTTTTCATTGCAAATTTACCCCACACATACTCTGAAATGCCAATTTCCTGTACATTAAAACAAATTCCCGTCTTTTGTGAAATTTCCCGTAGTTCCAGCATTTTAGTTTTTGCAATTTCCCGTCGTTCCCACAGTTCCCGCATTTTAGTGTATTTCCCGTTTTCTGCATTTTAGGGTTGCCCGTTATATCATATGTATTATGTGTCTTATGTTTGTGAAACACAAGAGTATCCAAGAAGATTATTCAACATCAAATCAGGGCACTTTTGTAAACCATATTATGTCTCTTTTGACTGATTATATATAGTTCAGTACATCTGCTAGTGAGTCATTAGTCTTATTTAACAGATCTTCAATTGGACTTGATGATATTTGTTATATTGAACATGGTTAACACTAATAGTAGTAAGATGGTTTTTATATGACATGTTGTAAGATATGACATTTCCCAAAAACCATTTTTCGGGGATGAATTTTGCCACTCGTTATTTTCTGAATTTCGAACTTTTCAGTATATTTTAAACTAAGTTATTGAAGATGCTAACCTAAAAATATATTTTTCTAGGGTTCTGTATCCAAATATGATGAACGTATCAGTGGGGTTGATGCTGTCATAATGATTGAAGTAATAGAGCACCTTGTTCCTGATGTTCTTGCAGAGTTTCCGGACAACATTTTCCGAAATTTGAATCCCAGGATTATTGTTATTACTACACCAAATGCGGATTTCAATGTCGTATTTAATACTTTACGTCATGGTGAATTCAGGCACTGGGACCATAAATTTGAATGGACACGGAGCCAGTTTCATGATTGGTGCCAAAATATATCTTCTAAATACAAATACTCAGTCTCTTACACTGGTATTGGTCAAGGACCAGCAGGAACTGAAGTCTATGGATGTTGTTCGCAGATGGCTGTTTTTGTGAAAAATGATATCTGCAGTAACAGAATTGAAATATCTGAAATTGGAGAAAAACATTCTTACTCCCTAATAGAACAGTGGAAATTTCCTCATGTTAATGATATTAAACATCGAAAATACATAATGAACTCATTGCTGAAAGAGTTTTTCAAAGGTTGTGCTAATGGATATTTATGGAAAAATGGTCACAGAAATTTAAATGCTGATATAGGGCAGCTGAAGTCCAAGTATACATTTAACAGTGTATGGCAAAGCTCTAAAAAAATTCCTACCGGAAGAAAATTAGTTTTTGCATCAGGACAATTTGATGATGCTGTCTGTGATAATTCTTTTGGTTGTTCACCAAATGGAATTGCTGCTTTAAATGGGCAGCACTCACTGTTCTATCCCCAAGTTCCATTTCAACGTGACAAGTTTGGCCAAACTGGTTTCATCAAATATTTGCAGAAAAAATATTTTATGGAAAGAGAGAATGTTGTTTTAACAGGCCAATTTGAAGATGATGTTCTACTTGCATTCAATGACTCGGATGCCAATAATACTTGTAAATCTTCAAATTTTTCCTACGTTGTTGGTTTGAATTTGTACCTTCCTCTCATTGTTATCACAAATTTAATGAAGGTTAATCATCTCGATGTTACTTTGGAGGAAATTACGTAAGTAGTATTTCTATTTTTTTTTTTTCAAATGCAGCCTAGCGAACTAAAATTTGAATTGCATTATCTGAGTTCGTGTCTACTGTCTAGGTACAGTTTATATGTAGTCCTTGTTTAATATTAGAATGAGAAATTTTTTATGCATATCTAAATAAAATAAATAATCTAAATAATTTTTACTAGTTGACAGTTTCACACTGGTTTATTTGTTTCATAACCATCATCCTGATTTTAAAAAATTTAACCAGCTGACATTTAAAAGTCCTGATAGCTAATTTCAGTCTAGTCCATCACAGATTTTTCAGCACTAATTTTTGATTACTGAAACGAAACTAAAACTCCTCAGAAGACAAATATAAAGTTATTTATGCGTAAATTTTGGATGGGCAACTAAAATACTGACAGATAGCTTGCAAAACAACAAAAACAAGCTAATGTGTATGTACATTGTACAACGAAGCTTGAAAATATATTTGAGTGAAAAAAGGGTCTGAGCGGCTGGCTGCTCAAATTGAAATTGTTGCGTCAGCTCAAGAAAATAAATACGAAAATAGATGCCCAGGGGAGCATTAATTGAAAATGAACTCACATCTCTTGAGGTTTCATTATTATTATTTTAGTAATGCAATAAGTGAAAATCACGAAGAAAGCATTGTATCTGTATCAAAAGATGGATTTGTTGTAATAGATATGTTAGCTGTGACTTATGGTCAACAAGGAAAATTTAATAGCCTAGCACTGGAGGAATCAAGGTGATTGTTAAAATAATTTATTTCGATACTAAGATAATGCATGGTTGGCAAAATCTTGGTATAAAAGAAGAAAGAAATTTTTTCATTTAAGCCTATAAATATATGCCTGTTCATTAGTATTTGAATCATTTGGCGCGGCGGTGTGGCTCATCGTGCTAAGCGTTAGGAATATGCTCGCCACTGCACCTCTGATTACTCTGCGTGGGTTCGCAGGTTCGAATTCCATTCGGGGATGGTTATGTGCGCAAGGATTGCTGGACTCCTTGCCGCCAAATGGTGGTTCACATAACCGCTAGTCGGTTACGGCTTCTTCCACCATCAAGTCCATGCTCCCGAAAATAAATAACTAACTAATCCCATACCCTACATGGAATGGTATCCAGATGAGAGGCCGTGGTTCGTCATATGGTTAAACCGTCTTATCGGCTTTCATCTTCCCCGGGATAAATATGTAAATCCTATCCTATCATTTGTTTTCAGTGCCATATACCAGTACGGCGGTACATATATTTTTTCAAATATACTGGTATTTGTCATACTTTCAGTGAAGATGGTGATCTTTGTGACATTGATTGGGGAAGAAATGATGAAAGTGAGCCCACTTGGTATTCTATAGATGAATTTGCACAGGAAAACTGGGATTAGTAGAACAGATATCTGCAGAGTACAATCATCTATGAAGGCAGAAACCCACAATCAATGGGTTTCAAGAAGGTATGTTTTGCTCTGGCCATCGATACAGTTTGATTATACTGAATAATTTTATTACACTAAAACACCCAGCATTCACATTAAATCTAGAACACAGGCTGGAAAAAGTGGCATGATGGCTTAGCGGTTAATGTGTTAGCCCTAACTGTGTCAGCATCGTAGATTTCACAGTCCATGACCCTCACCCAGGTGTAATAAACTGGGTAGATGATGCCTAACCAGAAAGAGTCCCACCCAGGGATGGCCAATTCGAATAGTATTTGAATATCTCGTCATTCGAATATCGGAATTAGCGTTTATAAGAATATAAGGCGCGGCGGTGTGGCTCAACGGGCTAAGCGTTAGGAATACGCTCGTCATCGCACCTCTAATTACTCTGCGTGGGTTCGCAGGTTCGAATCCCATGCAGGGATGGTTATGTGCGAGAGGATTGCTGGACTCCTAGCCGTCGTTGGGTGGTTCAGGTAACCGCTGTTCGGTTACGGCTTCCTCAATCACCAAGTCCATGCTTCCGAAAACAAACAATATAACTAATCCCATACCCGACTTACGAGAGTCGGTGGTTCGCCATATGGATAAGCCGTCTTATCGGCTTTCCTCCCCCCCCCGGGATAAATATGTAAATCCTATCCTATCGTGTGGCGTAACACATTTTCGAGCCGCTCTCAAGACGTTTCCGTTGAATGAAACAAATTTGTTCCACGATAACGATGACAACTATTTTATTTTTGTACTGACACGGAATTATTCCGGTGCATACGTTCATCGGCGGCTTCTGAAGAAAACGAAAATTTTTTGATTGTGGAAAAGTGGCAATTTAAAATACTGAAATTAAAACCGTGAACAAAATATGTTTTACTGAAGCCCGCGACAGTTTAAAAAACGCATTTCTAGGCAGTGAAAATCGCAAAATTCCCACATTATGTTTGGTCCGCGTTTAGAAACATATGGTCACTAATGGAGGGCGGGATTTGCCTGACTATCCATTACTTAGTCAAAAAAATTTTGTGTTAACATTATACAAGATTTGAAACGCGACTTTTACCGGGTTGTGAGAATGTATATAATATATTTAATCTAAAGAATATTCAATCAATTTTTATTGTGCTGAAATAAATTTTACTCTTGAGATTTCACGGCACACATTTTTATTTTTATGTCCGCGGATTGCCATGTTTTATTAGAGTGGTGAGGATTTTATTTTGTCGACGCAACCACGCAACCGCAGGTTATATTGAAAACAATTCAATTAATAAAGCAAGACATTTTAAATATGCCCGTATCGGTCACGAAATAATCACTTTGCACAACAGAAAAATATATATTCGTTGTTATATTATTTGTTGTAAAAGTCGGCTCTTTTAACAGGTGGAGTAATCGCGACGATATGTATTTTTAATTTACTGCTAAACTTTATATGTATATTCATTGTATGAAATGAAGTTGTACTCTACAGAATTTGATATCAGCTATTGAGATTTTTCTAACGGCGATAACGAGTTGCAAAAATACGTATTAAAATAAAATACATCAGGTTGTTTAACTCGTACTTTTAGGCCACAGATCGCTGTCGACCGAATAGGAATGTTTTTATTTTGACGTAAGAAAAAGCAACCGCGAGTTACGTTTGACTCACAAAAATTAATATATAAAGATATTTTAGAATCTCGTAGTTGTCATGGATTGAATATTTTGCGTGACATGATAATCAACCCTGGAAAGACGGAACGTGCGCGGAATCGCGGTGGCTGTTACAGGCGGCAATGGGAGTTTCCGATTTTGATCCTGGCTGGCGCCTGGCAGTGGTGGTCATCTATCCTCTAACTTATTGCTAATTTCAGACATAACTATATGCTACACATAATAACAATATGTTTCACATAAATTAATATACAAATATACTGGTAGGTAGTAGATGGTTGTTGCTTGCTTCAGTTGCCTGTATTGCCATTGCATTTTATAACTCTCAGAAAATATACACAATTATCTGAATACAAATAGTATATTTGTCAATAAAGTTGACTATTATCATAATATCATGGTACCAATGATAGAAATCGTCAGACCACTCCTTGGCCATCTTTTCATATGGCCATTTGTACTAAGTGTACAATTTTAATAAACTGAATGTGTCACAAGTTGCTATTATTTTTTTCGATAGCTATAAACTATCAATTACTTTGTGTAATATACTGTTGGTTTGTAGCTTTATACTGATATTTCTAATGAAGCTTCTTCCCTATTTTACTGGGTTTTAATGAACTGAAACAAACATGTGTTATTTTAGAATGTATTCGGAATAGTTTAGTATTCGGAAATGGCCATCCCTGGTCACACCCATGTAAATATTATTGTGGTATACTCTTTCAGGATAACATGGAGAGTCAAAACCATGGTGGTCATGATGAAGTTGTCTGTGGATTTACAGCACATGCTGTATGAAAGCGGTGGGACTTGGGACCAAATGTTAAACTATCACGTTCAAGTTTAGTTTTGTTGCATAAATAGCAATCGACTTCCACCAAACTGGAATAATTTTTGTGTAAAGTTTGATGCAAGTATTGATACTGAAGAGGAGTAGAGTCATCTGCAACTTAGAATTGAGGAAAATACAAATAGAATCTATTACAAGTCTGCATGAAAGGCTTGGACTACAAAGTGAATCACTCAAGTCATTAAGGAGGCTGTGACTCTAATCCGTTCAATCTGGTAAGGAATCTAGCGATAGCTTGAGTTCATGTTAAGTTTTTCGTTTTATGTCTAATGAACATAGCTATATGCTGTTACAAAATGGACATCTGGTGAAAACCGTAAATTTCATGGAAGGAATTATAATTCCGAGGATATTACTGACCACATCGGTGACAAGTCAGATAAAAAGATACATATGACACAAGAAAAGATGCTGTAATAAACTGTATTGCTTGTGGTGTCTCATTTGAAACATAGAGAAATTTTTTACCTGACATTTTTTGTATTTTTACAAGATTGCTCCCGATCTACCAACTAATTTAACCCTCACTTTCTCAGTTATGAAAAGGTTGTCATATTTGCGATTCTAGCTTGTTTCTTGAGGCCATTTATTGGATCACCGCACTTAAATCGCGTTCTCCAACACTTTGATCTGAAAAATGAGCGAGCGTCAATAGATTTCAACTCTAGTTTCAAAGGCAGTATTTTCGGAAGTTATCCAAACTCTATAGATAACGATGTTGATTGAAAACACTTTCGCAGTGATAAAAATTGTGGAGTATGTGATATCCTATAAAAGTTTAGCACGTATCCAAGACTAGTCGGAATCATGTCTGAAAGTCTCCGTAAGAGAGATTTCGTGGAATGTACTCATTAATTTTGTTCGTGTGTGAGTTTTTTTGTGTGTTAAGCAATTAAAATCGGGGTAAAATGTTCGAATGAGCTTTGTTGTTCATGCTACCAATGACATGATGTCATTGATGCAGCTGAAAAGTGCATAGTTCCATTGTCTTAATGGGAATGTTAATATCGTTGTACGGTTTGTCTGATCTACTGCGTACCAGAGTGATGATGGCTGCATGCTTAACCAACACTGCTATGCTACTTGCATGGGTCACGCTATTAAGTTGTACACTTCAATTCGAAACTTGCATTGGAAAGAGTTGGAAGCAACCGTTAACGGAACCACCCTGTGACAGCGAGGAGTCCAGCAATCCTCTGCCACATAATTGCCCCACACGAGATTCAAACCGGCGAGCCCGCTCACGATAATCAAAGGTGTGGTTACAAGCCTATTCCTAAAGCTTATCACGCCACATGATGCGCCACACCAGTGAGCTGGAGCCGGTAGTTATTGGGATGCGGTTTTCGTATGTATCCAGAGAGTTGAGGAAAGCCGATGACACGGCTGAAATATATTCGAGAACATCGTTTTGTGAAGTGTCCGAAATAGAAGCACATATATAAGAGTTCTCATGACCAGGGTCGATAATGTCATTTTTATGATATCTTTGCTCTATTATCACAGCCTTTGTAAGTGTGAAAATTTTTGTTGTTTGCAATATGTAAAGATTAAGGTCACCGTTTAGGACAATTTGATAAAACTGTGTGAAAATTGTGCTGTCCGTCGATGTCATTATTATGGAAAACTACTTGTTTAAATTACTTTATATGAATGCAATGAGACAAATAAAAGAGATGTAGACGATGAGGAACTTGGACCCCATTGTCGACTATATTGAATGCTCAGTACGAAGAGAGAAGTTTTGAGATATTAATAGTCTTCAAAAAGAATTTGCGAATTATACATTTTTTAACTGGCGCCGAAATGGACCTATAGATCGTTTTAATATTACGTAGTTGTCAGAATTCTTGGTCACGTTCTTGTGAAAAGGCGCTTTACATGTGGGCCGAAAGGTATAACTTGGAATCACGCGCAAACCACCGAAGCATGAAGTAGTTTATTTTGTAGTCTTCTGTTTCCAGTGGGCATGTAATCAGGCCTCCTAAATGTTCCTTGAATCCTATGGGATCTTATATTTCATCCAAAATTTCGCTGTAATATTTTTTATGCGCAGAAACCCGGTTTTCAATCTGCCAAGCGTGACGACTTAATTTTGCAAAATCTGTCGGTGACGCACTGTAGGTAGGTACGGTAAGTTACTTGTAAAAGCTGAAATACTGTTATTGATTTAATCTACAAGTCTAATCATTTAGAATTTTAATTCACATAATTTAATAAGCTAGGGCAGTTTGAATACGTGACAGGTAGCGGGGTTCGCAGGTTCGAATACCATGCGGGGATGATCATGTGCGAGAGGATTGCTGGACTCCTCGCCGCCGTAGGGTGGTTCACGTAACCGCTGGTCGGTTACGGCTTCCTCCACCATCAAGTCCATGCTTCCGAAAACAAGTAACTGGCTAACTAATCCCATACCCGACCTGGACTGGTAACCGAACGAGAGGCCGTGGTTCGCCATATGATTAAGCCGTCTTATCGGCTTTCTTCTCCCCCGAGATAAATATGTAAATCCTATCTTATCCTGTGAACCGACAGAACAGTTCACATATGCAGTGGTGGTAGGAGTCGAGAAACATGATCTGACTATCGGGCGAATTAGGGCTCAGACTCCACACACCAATGCATATGCAATAAATAACTAGACAAGAAATATAAATGAAACAATAAAAAATAGGACACACCAGTCCCGCCACACTTTGATTGAAACTATTCAATAATCTGTTTTTTAGATGTACCGGTAGACGATTTTAGCCTAGTCTATTACAGCTATTTCTACACTAATTTTTAGTTACTGCAATTAAACCAAAACTCCTAAGAATACAAAATGATTATTGAATTGTTTAATTCATACTTAAATTTTCGAAACACGACTGAAAACTAACAACTAGAATTCAAAAATGCGAATATGAGGTAACCTTCACAAACACGCCTGAAGATCTGTCTGAAATGACAAACGTGTCTGAGCGGATGCGAAGTCTCAGACAAGGCTGCAGCTGAGTTGAAGATGATCGATCTTTATGAGGAATGCCAACTGAAATGCGCGACAAGAGAAGGGATCATTGAGTTATGAAAAAAAAATGCCAATGAAAAATACTCACATGTCAAACGAGCTGCGCGTAGGATATTGTCAATGTTTGGGTCAAAATACGTCTGCGAGTCTGTGTTTTCAATCCTAATACACCTGTCAAAGCATCGATCTGTTGTGACTGACATCTATGTGTCAGTCAGAATCCCCCTAAGTAACATGCATAACAATAAATGGCTTGCAAATTTCTGTCGTAATCATGTTGGTTTGTGACATTTACAATAAACTAGCATTCTAGCAGAGCTGAATATAGGTATATCTGATGTTCGTGTGTGTTATTGTTTATAATGTGGCTCTTCGCGGTAATGAGGTACGAAATGCGGCTCTTGGTCTCGGACTGGTTGGCCACCCCTGCCCTAACAAGTGGACATTTATAAACTTGTATTGGTATCCCGATGGCATGATGCTGTATTGTCATTGTAGCGAACAGGTCGTCTAATTGCGCGTTTTTATTACATTGGCTTGCTCCTAATTTTGATGTTCGAGAAATTTCAAATTGAACACTTGCAACTGTTAACTATGGCAACTAAATTAAGCCAATATCCTATACATTCATCGTACAATTCATATTGTTTCCGTTAAAAATTTAGACTTTAACAAATGTGTACAACGGTCAAAGTGAGTAAGTGACCTCGCAAAACGTGCCCGGAGTCCAAAAATAAAAAAATTGAAACCATATCCGAGAAAAGGCAAATTGGTTAATCTATTTTATAATTAAACAGTGAAAGGTATGTTCATACCACGTTATACAGTACCATATGAATATGTGAATGAATTATGGAGTTCCTGCAAAAGGATCAAGCAGCTGCTATTCTATACTAAGCTATAGGGTTGATAACGTGATATACAAATACAGTCAAAAAGATGCATATACAGCCTATGTAATATGCACATAAATCAATATCATTACATGGCCAAGCTAAGTATATATTGAGTTAATTATATATGCTGGGTTATTACATTCATCAAATCATCGAGTTTTGTTTTCCAAGCGGCATTGTATGCGGAAAATAAAGTAGCATCTGATTCCCGTATACCTCAAAAATGCTTCGACCCCTTTCGGTTTCTTACAACCTCTGTTACAAGACAAGTTTTGAGAAATGAGCCAATCAATTCGATTGTTATGTCATAAACGTTGTAACATTTCCTGCTGCAATACTTACGAAATTAATTCGTTCCGGAAGCCGTTTCGTAAGCAGAAAATTTCGTAAGTAGGAACGCATTTTACCCTATGAATGCCCTAATCCGTACTAAGCCCCGGTCATAACATTTGTACAAATAATGGTTAAAACGTGTAACAAATACATGCTTTTTTTGCTAGCAGGCTATTACTGTAGTATGATCCAAAGATTTCTATGAACTGTAAGAGATTCGTTTTTTTGAAGCCATGACGTCTTCAAAATAAAAATTGTGTACTTCGGTTCCGCCTTCGCGATGTGATGGTTGTTCGGGACCCGTAGTCTACTGTGACAGATTGCATACCCGAACAACTTCGTTTTGGCTTTCGTGTCTATATACCTGATCATCACTCTCTTGTTAATGTCCATAGTTGGACATACGAAAGCGTGAAGAAACATTGTGTACTCGCGGATCGAAGTATGTTACTTTTGTTGCATCTTTCTTATCGTTGTTATTGTTTCCAGCAATTGTGCGGATCATGACTTCATCCAGAAAGTGCTATTTCTCTGCCGTCGTACCAGTTTATAGGTACAGTAATTAAAATTTAACATGTTGATTGTATTGTGGAAGACAAGTTATACTCTGTCGTAATACGACTGAATATCATGGTAGCCAATTCCCAAATCTTAGTCAAATACTTAACGATACAGTTTTTGTACACGAAGAGAGAAGATGAGTCTTGAAATGATTTACAAAATTCTGGCACCGTCGTTTCAAGGTTTTCAAACATCAATTGAGTCCATGGTTAGTAAGAAAGAATACTTGTCAGCGAGCCTACGAACGCGGCCTGAGCGTTCTAAAAGTTCGGTCTTCAGTCTATTACATGTAAACGATACACGGGGGAATTTACGCATTACATCCAGCCTCAAAATCTGTTCGACTCAAACACACAATATGCAGTGTTTTTGCCGTTTAAATGCATAAAAATATGAAAAACAGTAATGGCAAAAAATAGCAAAAGTTGTCCGACTAACAACACACAATATGCAGTGTTTTTGCCGTTTTAATTGCATAAAGATATAAAAAATATGAATAGCAAAAATACGGATTTCTAAAAACGGAATGATGGAACATATCGCTGGATGCATTGTTTAGCGCCAAAACTGAACTTTATTGTTCCAGATTTTCTTCTTCCGATAGATGAATCCAATATTTCCAAGGGAAAAAGCTTTCGTTTTAAATCCATTGTGTAAATACAGCGATATCAAGAATGTAGCGTATATGCAGTATTTTCGAAAATCGATTGAGGCCGCGAAATGTAAAACACTAACCAGGTAAGCTACTGGTGCCACCATGTCTTCCACGTTCGCGTTATCATTTTTTTTTTTCAATTTTCATCATATCCAACGGTGAAGAATTAGCCTTGGTGTTTCCGGCAGAGCCTAATAAATGCATGAGAATACAATATTTCACTTTGGCCATTCATTTGTGTCCCATATTCAGATAATAAACATATATAGAATGGCCTTTAAATTTTTATCAATTTTATCTATGTTCGATCAAGATTTGACTGAATATAGAGGTTTTATCAGCTGCCGAGGATATTTTACTGTTGCAATGATGGCACAATCTAAACTCAAGCTGTGAACGACCAGATGCGCAATTGCGCAATCTACCGCACGCACGAAACGATGCGTGAACGTTATCACGACAATGTCGTCGTCGCCCTTTGCGTCGTTACGCAAACTTGGCGTCAAAATAGTTGATCAATGTTGTTCACAAACCATTGGAATCGATAGCACAAATTCAGGAATAAAATGAGTTATGCGTAAGCTAAGAAAGTCATCCGCATATCCCCCGAGAGGTAATTTTGTATACTTTTCAAATTTCACATATATATATTGATGACACATTTTTAAAAAAGGTGTCAAATCTTACCAAAATACAAAAAATTAGTGGATGGGACTAAAAATAGGCTTACACATCTCATCTCGTAAAAAATGATGCCAGTTATAAACAAAAGACTAAATCAGCTTTAATAAGACATATTACAGACCATCTGATATCTAATGGTTTAGAAATCACATTTATTTAAAAATAAGGATATTTCAATTTTTCAACGCGTCGAATCGATGCGACGCCGTGGGAGGTCAGGGTGAGAGAGTAGCGTCGTTTTGGGGATTCAGAGTTCAAAGAGTGTGTCATCAGTCACAGTGAAATTATACATATAAATTGTATGTACTACTATAAAATCGAACCAACCCCGCATTTCATTTTACAAAAAGGTCTATTAAGTTCAGTTGTTAAGTAATCTTCACTTATGAAGAATCAATCAAGCGACATGGACAATGCATTTAGGTTGTAAGTGACATGGACAATGCATTTAAGTAACGAACCCGAAAACTTTTTATCGGCTTTTTGGATGGCGAATCCCATGATCCTTTCGAACTGCCAACTGTTTTACCAGCTTTTTACTGCGGGTGAAACTTGAATTTCCTAACCCATGTACTATACCCACCAA